CGGCTGAAACCTTTTTGCAGCGCAAAGCTGAAACATGGGGATTTCGGATCACTTCAAACGGAATGAAATAAAACGGACTCTCCTTGATGTCCTTTGTCTCTTTTGGATTCCTTCTTCGAAGTATCGCAAATCGAAATTCCATTCCAAACAAATGAAGCACTTTGCTTCGCAAATTTTTCTCCGCTCGTACCCCATTTTCTTCAGCTATGCACTTCTTTCGTTTGTTTTTTTTGGACTGCTCTATCTTCTGAAGCTTTCTGGAACTGAACGGACAGAATGCCGAAACTTCTCTGCACTCTGGAAACAACGCAAACAATTCTTTCCACTTTCCACGCGACGGCAGATCAGCAACATTGCAGGGAGAGGGTACTCTGCAGTACCAAGGCAGACATGGACCTTTGGAATCCAATTTTCAAGAACTACCAAAAGTGCTTTCATGGTCTCTTCGTTGCTATATCCCTTGATCAAAGCATCAAGGTCACCTTGGTTATCTATGAAAAGAGAGACACCTTCTTCCGTCCAGACGACTGCGCCACAAATGCCTTGCGACGCACTCTGCATACATCTCTGTCTGAGCAACTGGATGGACCTTTGAAGCGCTCTTCCAAGAATCCACAACACTTTCTGAAACGTGAGAACCAAACGCCTCAATCACACCTCCATCATTGGGGTCGAAAATGACTCCGCCAACGGTGCAAACAACTTGGCCGCCAGAGCCAGGTTCACATGCACCATCCGTGAAAACTACACATGGAAGTTGCGTCCTTTCCATCTTAAGGGACCTAGGGATGCCGTTTTTTTTTTCGTACCTGTCTAAAAGGTTATGCATGGCACCCAGCTGCACTTCTGACAACGTAACAAAACGCTTGTCAACCTTTTCCATGGACCTGAGTTCTGCAAGGGCAAGCCTGCCTGCCTTACCCATGAACTGGCTCTCAACAAAAAGCGCACGTCCAAAAACAGATGCCGAATTCTTTGTAGGTACTTTTCCAGACTTCACAATGCAAGACAAAACATCCTTGAGCTCTGACATCCTGCTGGGCTTGTTGGAGACCTTCACAACACCTTTCGTAGATTCACTCAAATCCAAAACAACACCCAACATCTCCGCACTCCTGTCAAAAGGGGAGCTCCTTGTCCAGTGAGTATTCAAAACCCAACATGGAGGTAAGTGCTCTCGCAGCTGCTCCGGTATGCTCCGACAAAATTTTAAAATCGACAACAGGAAAGTCGTCGTAATAATTCGTCCAGGGAATGTCGAGCTCAAGACCCGCCTTTGTCAGTGAGCTCTTGCATGGTCATGTCCCAAAGATCTTGGTCGTATTCTGCACTGGGGCTGGATTGAACCTTGCCCCACAACGCAGGCTGCAGGAACTTAATTTGTTTCACCAGATCTTCTTCTGTAAGTGATCTCGGCTTGATATCAGCAGCAAAAATTCCAGAAGGATTTTGTAATCCCGTTAACTTGAATCCATCTCGAACATCTTGGTGAATGTGCTTATCTGGCCAGTCAACCTGCACTGCAAGTCTTCCCAACAAGGCCCAGTGCTTGCCCTTCAAACCCGGATTCATGCTGTCGAAAATTTCTTGGTTCTTGCCAGCAAGCTCATCTGCGAGGCCTCTCCAACTTTTGAGTTTCTCTAGTCTTCTCTTCATAGTCTCCAGAGGGGAACGACTCAACACATTGCAGACCACTGTCAGCAAATAATCAGGGACGGCACGAAACGAATCAAAGGATGAATAACAGTTCTTGCCAATTGAGTAAACTGCGGAATAGATCTGTATATTCCAAAATTCGAATAACAGCATTGTCCTCACCAGCTTGTCCCCTTTTCGCTTTAGCCCATCGAAGTAATTTGCTTCCTACAGGAATACCATGGTATGGTTGCGTCAGTGTTCGTTTGTCTGAAAGGGCTGGCTCGTCTGCAGACAACGAGCGTACCGTCTTCACGTTATCAAATTCAGACAAAAGCGGTGGTAGTTTCCGACCCCGCGGCTGCTTGTTAGTTGCCACTCTTGCATCCACGTTGACTGAATTGGAGTGAAATTCCTGATTCAAATGACTATCAGGAAAACCTGCACCATCTGCCAGAATACTTGCAAACCTTTCGCAAAACAACTTTGGATATGCAGCTTCTTTGCTCGTGTCAAAAACAACTTCGCCATCTTCGTTAGTGTGCGACCATGGGAGGTGATCATGATCGTCCTGGCAATATCCAGCAAGCGATTCAAATGCCCTCCCGTTCGTCAACAAGGCTGTAAGGGCTCTGCCCGCAAGGGTTCGAATCCCTTCGGTGTCGATGCATGTAAGTTTCTTCCTTTCACTGCCGTGAATACAAGAATGAAAAAGTACAAAGTATGCAGCTGCAATGAGCATTTGGCAGTCTTCAATGTTCCACAAATAGCTTCTGCCAGGATTCTCGATGCTCCATCCGATGTCCAGAGTGCTTAACCAGAAGCAAAAAGCAGCAAGAAAGATGTAAATCGCATTTGCAGAATCCAGTTTGTCTCTAAGAACGCCAGTGATCCATGGAAACCCCATGGGAAATTCTTCAGACCTAAGTGGAGGCGGCCCGTGGTTCCCATCAGCGAGTGGCATGTCTCTCGCTCTCGATGCCGTGCCGCAAGGAGGCGCAGCATGGAAGCGAAAAGGTCTTCGTGTCAAAACCAAGTGTTCCAGAAAATCCCAAGTTGATTTCTTTCACAAGTCCAAATTAGCAACATGCACAAAAGGCCGGTGTTTATTGCCTTGAAAGTCAATTGGCAAAGTATCGACGCCTGCCTTCGAAACACATGCACTGAGCAATGCACTCCCACAACAAACTTCAACAAAAAGAGGCGCCTCTGCCAGGTATCTGGGAGGCTTTGCATTCAACTCCACTTCGGGTTTGAATGCACCGACATCACCTTCGTGATTCTCAACTTGTGGCGATGCTGCACTTTGCAGTTCACCGGGCTCCGGACTCTCACCTTCAGGAGATAGTCAACCGGATTGGTTCTTGGAAGGGCAGTTGATGAAAGCATGGTGCTTGCCACACTTCGGGAGTGCACACACGTGAAACCCGCGGTCACATCGACCATTTGTCACCTTGTTGGAGCATGTACCAAGATTAAATCCATAACAGATTGAATCACCAGAATTCGTCGTTGCACGACAACCACCGTTCAGCAAGACATGTGGCATCTTCGGCGAGGATTTGTTCTTGCTTTTGCTCTTGCCCTTTCCTTTGGAAGGGCTCTGTTGCTTGTATGGTGCAACACGACTGGAAGATGACTTCTCATCTTTAAGCTCAAAGGACTTTCCCATGAGCGGCTGCAACAGGTGCATGACCTCAGCCTTGTTCATGCACTTTTCGAACACCATGTCAATTGGCCTTCCGCTTGTTGTAACTTGGACCCCATGGCGGATCTCATCAGCAAGTTCTTCAAACAGCTTTTTATCCGCCTCAAGCAATTGGCGAAATGACGTCTTTGCATAACCATGTGGTGGTGTTTGAAGTCTTACTTTAATCAAACGATCCACCCACAGCTGATGAATCTTGAAATTCAACAAGTTGGCCTGATCCATGCTCAAGCCTCTCCTTTGCAAGGCATACTGCAACATGATCTCCGTTGATGTATCTGCTATGGGGTCTTGCTTCTTGCCCTCGACTTTTAACTTGCCACTGGAGTCAACTGCAAATAAATGCTCGGTTCTCACATCTTTGTCCAGCTCAGCCTCCTTGGCCGCGTATTTCTCCCAAGCGACAAATCTAATCCTGTTTGCCTCATACATTGCACAAAAGGAATCCACCAACGCATCACTTGGCTCAAGCGGTCCTTTCAAAGTCAGACCTGTGATACGTTTCACCTGTCTCTAATACAAATCTGCACGTTCAGGTTGGGTGAGCTTCCTTGTGTGGACTTCTTCACTCCTTTCAAGCTGCTGCTTCATCTCTTGGGTGACAAGGGAGTAAGCTTCGTGAAGCAACTTACGAAACGACGCAAACTCAGAAAGGTCGGCATCACGACCTAAGACTGACTTTAAAGTCTTCACAAATTCCGAATCGTCTCCTGATCCAGGCACATACGAACTTGCAAATGCAAACTTCGACAAAGTGTCCAGCTTTGCATCAGAGAGTTTCTCAAAAACTTCTTCTGAAATTCCAGCTGCGACCGTTCGGTCTTTGAACACAGGTTTGCTGTCTGCAAACGCCATCACATGAAACTCTTGCGCCGGCACTTGTCGAGAAATAAAAACAGAAATGAATTGAAACGAATTGCATGAATCGTGCAAAACTTGTCAACTGAGGCTCATTGCAATGTCAAAACTTGTTTCGTGAATTGGCATGACATGAATCAACTTGCATGAATCATGTTAACAGCCTGTCCAATGGAGCTGGTCTCAACGTTTTGACTCGTTTCTGGAGCCTGCAAATCACCAAAATCATGTGATTCCAGCCCCAAGTCGCCATTCGAACATGATCAAAACACCTGTACCTCCTTAACAGCAAACATCGACGCAACCTAATGTTCATCTCCTCATGCGACAGTTTCTCATGTGCCAAAACCCAAAACACGAAAAACCAAACCAGCACATGCAAACATGTCATGAAATCATGCGAAAATGAGCTTCCGTTTTGGTACCGCAAACGTTTGTGGTTTTTTATCCGAATTTCAACTCAAGTATTGCTGGTTTGGTATGAAGTTCCTTGTGAATTGGGTAAACATAAAATTAATGGAATCGTCTATCTTGTGCTAAGATCACCACCAGCTCTCAGTCCTAATTTCCTCCAAAACAGGCTGCCGATTCCAAAATCTTTTACTCAGGACGCACGGTTTTTTTGAGTTCATTAGTTCCTTTGAACTGTGCATTGTTTCACATAATGTCTTTGATTGAAGCTTGCACCAATTGAGGTCGGCACGAGCAGGTCAAGGCATTGCAGACACTCTGAAATGTCTGATTCAAGTTCCATTCTACCACATTGCAAGTCAAACAAATGCTTCAAAACGGGCTCTTCCTAAACTTGTTGAGACACTGCTTGCAGATAGGCAGGGTGTCTGAGGTCTGGACGGCAGTGCAATGTAAATGCGGGTGATATCTCTGCCACACGCGAACTTGAGGCCAGATTCGTCCTCCTTGATGGCGTCCAGAATAACATCCATCTCACGAAGAGCGGCACTTGTGTTGTCTTTCCATAAGTCAACATTGTAGACATCTTGTCAGCCACATAGTAGCCCATCAGCCTGCGCATGTCTGGAGTGCCTCCCCATTTCGCCAGCCACGACAGGCAAGTGGACTTGCATGAATGGGTTCCAAGCAGTTGCAGCCTGGAGTCTTGGAGAACCTCACCAGTCTGCCGAAGGCTACGCAACCAGCTGGTTGCTTCTTCAGCTGACCAATGAAGCGGATGCCATCCATCTGGTGTCCTGACTGGCAGCAAAGGTTTCCCATGTCCAACCTGTACGCCTGCTTCGGCTAGCACGCTCTTCCAAGCGTGGCTCCAAAACTCACTTGAAACTCCATTCGCAGTCACCGCCACAAAAGGCAACCTGACCTTATCTTCCTCGTGCTGCATAAAGGAGTACACAACTTCCTCAAACACTGGAAAGGCCTTGAGCTGTAAGTTGGGGCAATAGTGCAAAAACGTCATCATAAGATCTGCACGACTATGAAAAGTCGAAGCGCTCTTGCATGCAAATTTTTTCTTGGGATCATCTTGCAAGCGCCCTTTGTTGAGACCAGAAATGACCAAGTTGAAATAACATATGCAGACCTCAAAAAACATGGGGTCGGACATGACCATCCGATGCCGTTCGGCCAGCGCAGCATTACGCTGGGAATCCTGCATTGCATCCCACTCAATCTTCTGAAGTCTGCAAAGCAATTGTTTGTAATGCACGTCAAAAACGTTTTCCTGTCGGTCAAGCTCTGTAAAGTCTGCAGCGTCTTGCAAAACTGGAGCTCTGCACAAGGAGGCATGCCAATTGGGCCAAATGGGAGTGACGCCCTGTTGTTCTCCCAAAAGAAACACATCTGCCACGGATATTTATATGCAGTACACTTCATATTGCACTCACAGAATTGTATGTGTTCACGAACTGCAGTGTCAAAAATTCGTTTATCCCCTTTTCCCACATCGTGCATCAGATCAGGAGTCATCTGAGCTGTCAACAATGCCAGCACTGGACAATGAAGTGTCGACGAAGGCAAAGTCATTCGATGGTGCCACAACGCTGTATTATAATGAAAGTCCAAACACTCATCATGTACTTCATCCAACACCAGCGCATTGCATCGCTGCTTGAACCAGCGTGAAGACAAAGTACATTGGGTAAGCAGAAACTGGTCAGTACCAGCTGTGATATGCGCATCTGTGCCGATCGTGTGAACCAGGTTGGTCACAGTATTCTGGGCATTGAGGAATGCCGCATCCATGACAGCATTGGTTTGGACGAGAAGCACCACTAGGAGTTGTAGAGGCCGGAGTTTCAGTGGGACCGGCATGTCCGGAAGATGCAGCCTCTGTTGAGGCAGGGTCCACATTGGTGGCACTTGAATCGCCAATATCCGCAGACACCTTCAAAGGAATCGAGAGGCGTCGCGAAAATTCGCACAACACTGCCAACGCTAGGGCGATCAATTGATCAGTCGGCAGTTCTGCCACCTTGCGTAAATCCATCACCGCCCTACAAAATTTTGGGAAAAGGGTTTCTTAACCCACCGCACCCACCACTTGAACTTGTAAAATGTCCATTGACATAAAACGCTTCTTCTTATGACATTATGACTTGAAACATGTAACATGATCATGCAACATGTTGCGAAGGATTCTTGACCAAACATGTGTTCAACTGTTTTGTTATCTTTTGTTTAAAACCGTTTGTAAAACAAAACGCACTTCGCAAAGCTGAACACGAATTGGACAAACAATAAATAAATCACTTCGATTTGCACAGCACAGAGCGAGTGTTAGCTGACATATTAACATATACTCTGACAAGGATGAATAAATCATCACGCACTGACATAAATTCTGACTCAAGGAGATGAGTCAAGAGAAAGGTTTTGGTTTGGAGGAAAGTTCAGAAAGGAACTTTCATAAACAACACCTTTGTCATAAAACATCATGAGTTTTCAACTCAAGTAATGCATGCTTCTTTTCCTTTCGGTACGTGGGAGGGGGGAGGGATTTGTGGCCACGTTGACATCATCGAGAGTCTGTATAAGAGCCTGAGCATCTGCGGCGAGTTCACGTAAACTGAAAAGGGGGGGATCGCATGAATCCAGCTGTAATTGATGGAGCATTGCCCGTTCTGCTTCATAAATTAAATGTGGAGAGATTTCTTTTGGGAGCCAGAGTCCGTCATGAAGCCAAATTGCTGATGTTATGTGACACCTTCTCGTTAGCTCTTTGTAGTAAGAGATCATAATGTGTTCTTCATACCATTCAAGAGTTCGAAAAGCAGCCCCTCTGACATGAGCAACATATTGTGGCCTCCTTAAGGACCGGTGGTCGTTAACAAGCGCTTGTGTTGCTGATTCAATTTGAAAGCTGAGATGATATAATGCTGGAGGACATGAGATATGGTGTTCCCTCTCTATTTTGGCACACGCTTCTCTTGCCCCTGCATTCATTACAATTAGCGGATGTCGCTTGACGACAGCAGACCGCTGATTCAGCGATACCAACCCTAGCAGATCAGTAAGTATTGCTCTCAGATCTACTATATGTGGGAGGTGGCTGCTGCGAAGGAGTCGTCTCATGATTTCATAGAAAGCGCCGACCATGTCAAATTCCTGGTGCGTATTTCCAAATAGGAGTAATCTCACCTTTCGTGGTAGTCTTTGAGCACAGGGACCTCTACCATACAGTCGGCCCAGACAGTCGGTTGCAGAAGCCGTATACTCTACTACTCGGGGTTTCGTGAGATTGGCAGTGCCCGCTAAATAGGCCTCCACCTCTTTGAGATATTGCTGGTTTGCAGTTTGCACCATAAATTTGTTTACCAATTCTATGCTTATACTCGGGACTTCGGTAAGTAGTAGGATCGTAACACCTAGCGGCCTCTCTTCCAGTACAATGGCTCCAGATCGCATGGCCAACTGATAGGGCGCTTCAACCACGATTTCAGTAGGCTCGCTTACATGAGCTGGGAGGGCCTGTGCCGCTCGGCTAGCTACTCCAGCAAGATAGTCTGCGAGTATATTGGCTTCTCTTGGGCGGTATACCCATTTTCCATGGTCAAAAAACCTAGATTGTTTCCGGCGAATTTGCTGTATAATAGGCTGTAGGTCTATCCTACGAAAGCGTCCTGCGAAGGCTAGGTGCTTAACGATGGGGAGGATATCCCCTTGTAGATAGGCCTGGTCAACTGCGTAGCTTCTGTGTACCATTTCTTCACACAAAAGGACTGTTGCGAGATTAGCTGACACCGCCTCAGCAAAGATATTATCTGGGCAGCTAGGTAATGCAACAGCCCTCCACTTGAGCAACGTTAGTCCTTCTCGCTGGAGTTCTAAGAGAGCAGCGCCCGCTCCGCCTGTTCCCTTATCAGCATGACAGGACCCGTCAAATTGTACTAGTAGTGTAGTTTTGTCAGACTTAAGATAACTGCTGAGCACTTCATTGGTGCCTATAGGCTGCAATGCCGTAAGACGGCAATGATAGTCACCACACTCACACTGGAAAGTGGAGAGCGAGACATTTGGGGAGATTCCTGTTCCGAACTGGATAGTTTGCTGAATTAATTGTAGCGGTTCAGGGCCTAAGGGGACGACAGCAATTATTTGATTGGTTTCCACTGATTCACGCGTAATGCATACCCGAGCTGGGGCAAGGGCACACGAGATGTGGAGTGGGGGTTTGTCACAGCACCAAAGTAGCGAGTCATCAACAGAACAGTGGGCGGAAACTAATTGTGTCCTTACATGCTGCATACGAAGGTCCAGAGGTAGCTCTGTTTGTACTCTTTGGACGAGGTTATGTATCCAGGTATCCGTGGGGATAAGGGGAGCAGAGACCTGATGTCTCATTGCACCTGATTCCCGTAGTAGCAACCTGAATTGATGAACTACTCGCGAGGCTATTGCTAAGTGCTTAACGCTTTTCCTTGACCCTTCGGCCAGCGACAGTATTGAATCATCTCCTGTCAGGCTTCGTAGTGCGCTGATAGGTACTACACACCATCGAACCCAATGCCCTACAGTATTGTCTCCCTTTGCACATGCAATGCATTTTTCCCAGTCTTCACTTTCTGGCAATTCTTCTTGCATAGGGGGTTCTCTGTGTGATGCCTCAAGCAGTCTGACAAGGGAGTCTGTCGTAAAGGCCGTCAGCTGTTTAGTTACTATACATGTTTCACAGATTGCGGTTTGATAGCCGCCGAGTGGGTATGCACGGCCAAAGTTTGCACAGAGAGCACATTTTTTTGCCGGCTTTGGCCACGTCGTGCTAACCACTCATCATCATCCTCATTGACTGCCCAGCGTAGCAAGGTGAACCTAGTTATACTAGGAATCCATCGCTTGTTGGCCTCGCAAGCATGACTGAGCCATGCCCAGCTGATTCCTCCCGTCCATCCTGCTGTTAGCACCTTGTTACGAATATAGTGAGATGCAAGTTGCATCATGTGATGGAGCACACATTTTTTGACTGCGTTTATTCGTTGTTTGATTGTACCACTTCCTGACACCGCTCTTGTAAGGACACCTTCCCCAACGACACGTGCCCAAGCTTGCCATAGTATCCTCACTTCGTGTGTTTGTCTGTTCACTACCGGTGGACTTTCAACATAAAGTTCATGAACCTTTCCTCCTTTTCGCAGAAATAGCCCTAATGCAGAAACAAGGATACTTACACCCGGGTCAAGTAGTGGTGCAATTTTACACAGTCGAAATACAAAAGCAAGGAGGTCATGTCTAATCCAACTACGTCCTAATAAGAGTTCCGTTGCTGCCGCGCGTAGCATTTGAAGATCTTCCGTGGCGGCACCAAAATAGGATGTAGTATATAGTACCACACTTTGTGCAAACGTATTGAAAGCAATGCTCTTAGAGACAACCGAGAGAACTGGTTGCCGAAACAGCCTGAGCCGATGTATAAACTTTTCGGCAGCTTTAGGATTGATTTGTTTAAGGGTAGTAGGGTGTGTAGTTACTGTCCATAAGTCACGATCAGACAATTGGGCACGCCCCAGTAGTAATAGCCCGAGTGAGGTCGCAACACCTTGGATGCAGTGTGCCCCGAAACCTGACTGATCTAACTGACGGAGCACCCAGCTTGGAAGCGGGCTGTTGATTACTAAAGCTGTTTTGCACCTACAGTTACACTCCAATGCCAACAATGAGCATATGGGTGTATAGTCAGTTCCGTTGAGGATACCGCAAGCTTCTCGAGGGGTCAGCCCTATACACTTGTCGGCTCGTGCAAGTATGAGTGTCTTTTGGGAAAGGATAGCCGATAAGATCGCTGCTCGTGCGGTGGGGTATTTCTTCTGCCGGAGAATAACTTCACTTTCGATCCGCCCAGGCAGGGATTGGACTGAAAAGGGGAGACAGTCAGAGCTAATAGCTTGCCAACAGGCATGCTGGTCAATTTGAAAACCTGCCGACCAGCAACATTGATAGCATTTGTGGACTCTACTTACCCAGGTAATGTCATGTCCTGGTCCTGCAATCGTGTTGTCGTCAATGTATCCCTGAACGCTAATGACCCGGGGGATACGATTCATATAGTGATATATCGGGTCCATTGCCAAACAGAATAGGAATACTGAGAAAGACCTTCCCATGTCAACTCCCACATGCACAGCCCTAGGCGGCAGAAGTCTGCCTTGAACTTTATGGCGGATGAGCCTTCCAAATAGGATGTATTTGGCATAATTACATACCCATGTCGGTGCATTGCGCATTCGCAGGATATGTAAGATCCAATAGGGATTAACCCGCTCAAAGGCCTTTGATAGATCAACAAGTAGCGCAGCTACGGGAGTATTGCTGTCTAGTAAG